ACTGTCGGGCAGGGAGCTGCAGTTTCTGGAGGATAATGAAAAGAGGGAGGAGGGAGGAGAGAGGGTAGGGCTCCTCCTCCAACTCCCCCACACTCTGCAAATGTCATAGGAACCTAACAATCAGGGCAGCTATTTCTGAGATCCAGAGAGGAGCCCCTGGGGGGTTTTGTATTTAAACAGCTGAACAACTAAATAATTTTTTAGTTTAACTTTATTGAAAGTTCCAGTGTGTTACATTGAGGAGGATCTATTGTTAGAAATGTAATATAATATTTACAGCTATGTTTTCATTAGTGTAGAATGTTTTTCATTACGTTAGAATGAGATGTTTTTATCTACAGAGGTCCCGCCATGTTTCTACGGTAGCCCAGGCAACAAACCAAACACTGCGGCTGCCTAGACAGCGACTTCTTACCCGAATGCCTGAAGGCATCAGTGAACAGCAAAACCACAAAAACACTGGCAGTGACGTGACAGCGATCGTTACAACCGAAACATTTACTGACTTATTACTGTTGCTGTCCGATTGTGACAAATTATGTTATTTAATGTCCTTTATATTTTTTCATATTAACTTTCTAATGTGAGGCTTTTTTGTTTTTTTGCTGTATCTTCTTTTAGCTAACGTCCCAAAGACGACTTATATACTCACCTTTTTATTGTTATTTTGGATGTAGAAACAAACTGAAACGGGTCTAAAGAACCACTGATTGGAAAGTTATTACCGTGGACTAAATTACTCACCGAGTCAACAGTTTGTTGTTTCTGTGAGTTAGCTGGAACTAAAAGCTGCTGGTTCAATGAAGTTAAAACCGTTTGTTGTTCTGACTGTGTGAGATGAACGTTACCGACTGTAGTTCAGCCATCTCTCTGCTCCAGAGCTCAACCTCTACCCAGCAGAATACCACCAGACTTCTGGAAATGGTATGGCATTTTCATGTTAATGTTTTAATGGTAAAAACTTAAAATATGTGTAAACCCTATGAAAGTACAGCTTTGGGTTAACTGACTATTATTTGTTTGTTTGGCCTTATAGTTAA